CAGCAGTGCCAATGCGGAGGCATTGCAATAAATCAGGAAAATTAATCCTCAAGGTGTTCGTAATTCAACAAGGGAGATATACACATACAACTAAGTGCTGTGATAAGATGTAGTTCAAGGGTCATGATAACCTTGGGCTTAATAATTTGGGCAAGAGATTGGCCAGCTGCAGAGTGCCCTGGAAAGGAGATAACAAATTAAGTTTGTTCTTGAAAGATGAGCAGATGTCACAATGGAAAGGGCATTCAAGACATGGATAGAATGAACACAAGCATAAAAATGTAAATTCAAATGGCGATACAGCCTGCACGCGAGGACTTGAAGGTCAGATTTTTCACCTTTCTTCTGATCAAAGGAAAGAACCCTTGTTCCAGAGAGAAACTTCCCTCAGGAGGACTACTCAACAATCTTTGTGACATGGAAAACATGTGCCACATATACACACACTGACACAACTCTGGCAGCCCTGACTTTCTTATTCTGCAGAGCAACTGGTTTTATTTTGTTACTTTATCAAATACATTTTTAAAAATCACATTTTTCAAGAATGGACTAGGGTCAAGGTCAACCTCTAATATATCAATTGTTCTGAAGAAAATTAAGATGATCAATTTACCTAAGGAATACCTCTTCATATTTTCCTTTTAGTAGACAAAAGACCGTAATATTCTTAATCGCTTGAAAACTACATTATAATACGAAAGTTGGATAAACATGAGTGTATGTCTAAATCTTGTTGGCTAGTGTTATTTTATTTCACAAATTAACAGGGCTATTAAAATTATATTTATAGTTGCTTTGAGCCGGAATCAACTCAATCGAAAAGCTTTTTTTTTTTTTTTGGCAAAATGGAACTCAATTTATTTAGGACAGCTCCCACAAACCAAAGTAATTTTACCCCTTCTCTCTGAAGATATGCCCTACACACTTTTGAATCCCTCTTCACATGTTGGTGTGGTTAGATGCCGTCGGGTCGTTTCCGATCCCTAGCAATGTGTGCAAACAGAACGAAACAGTGCCCAGTCCTGTGCCCTCCCACCATTCTTCTCATGCCTGAGCCCTTGTTTGCAGCCATCATGGCACATAGATTAAATCAACTATGGTGTATCTATGGTAAATGCATATGTGTGCTCATATATATATATACATAGAGAGAGAGAAAGAGAAAGAACATGGTTCAAGAGATCACAGAAAAGCAGGTTACGAGGTTGAACATCGTCACCAAATTACTAAATTCTTTAACTCACAAAAATATCAAGAAAGTAACATGGCAAAGTAACAGGAGATAACTCCAAGTTCACTGCCATGAAGGAGTCCTGGTGGCCAGGGTGTATAGGGGGTTGCACATGGGGCTTCTAGCCACAAGGTTGGCAGTTTGAAACCACCAGCTGCTCCTCGGGAAAAAGATGGGCCTTTCTACTCCTTTCAAGATTACACTCTTCAAGGGTGTTGCACTGGTCCAAGTAATACCACTTAGCACACGAGTGGAAAAGCTGTTGCAATCATTCAGGCCAGAGACGACGATGACTAGGGCTATGGGGTCCTAGGGTCAGGATGGTGTCCCTGAGGTGGTAAGATGGAGCAGATTGCTCGGTTACTTTTCTAGTTGTCACAGATTTTCTAAGTTTACTTTTCTTTCCTTTCTTGTCCTTTTCTGATGGTGTAAGAAGTTTACTTTTCCAATTTTCCCTCCCATTGATACGTAAATGAAACCTTCATTTCTCTTCTCTTAGGAATATTACAATGCACATTTACAGTATCAAAATCTAGACCAGGATCTGAGAAATCTTTGACGTTGGTCACCCTGTGGCTAGCAGACACGCTCCTCTGTCACGGATCATCATTCTCACTTTTGAACCTGCTCAGTCATGGCTGCCATGGCTTTCTTCAGGCAATATGGACTTCAATTTTTGGCAAAATTTGCCATTTTCTTTTCTCCTTATTCGTTCCTCCTTACATTTTAAAGTTTTTTATGTCTATGGTCATGTGGGATATTGATCTGTAGTTTTCTAACAAGATATTTGTCTGGTTTTCGATAGCCGGGTAATACTGGCATCATAGTCTGAGCTGAGCAGTGTTTTTACCACTTTTTTTTTAACCGTTTGTATTGGTACTCGCTAAGCATTGGTTCTGATTGATTTTTAAATGTTTCCTTGTGCTTACCAGTGAAGTCATTTTGGGCTGGGCTTTGCTTTGCGGGTAGTTTTGTTGTTGGTACAATTTCATTTTCTTTATTTGTGATATGTATACTTAGATTTTCTGTTTCTTCCATAGTCGGCTTCAGTAATTTGGGTCTTCCTAGGACTTTGTACATTTAAATCTAAATTAAATCTTATTTCTACTGTTGATTTTTTAAATTGAATCCTCTTTTTTGGGGGGTCAGTCTAGCTAAAGAGTTGTCCATTTTGTTGATCTTTTCCAAGAACCAATATTTTGCTTTCTTCCCTGTTGTTTTGCTTTCTTGGCTGTCTCTCTCATCTCTGCTTCATTTATTCCATCTTGATTTTTATTACTTCCTTTCTCTGTTCACTTGAGGCTTGGCTTCCTCTTCCTTTTTAAGTTTCTTAACAAGGAAGTTTAGGCTATTGATTTGAAATCTTTCTTTTGAGCATAAGTGTTTACAGCTACAAATTTCCTTCTAAATACTACTTTGGTTGTAACCCGTTTTGTCAGTTGTATGTTTCATCTCAAAGTTCATTCTGATTTTGCTTGTGATTTCTTCTTTGACCCATTGGTACTCTAGAGTGTGTGGCTTACTTGCCACATATTTGTTCCCTCCCCAAAATTCCTTCTGCTCTTCATCTCTAACCTTATTCACATGTGGTCAGAAAGCACACCTTGAATGAGTTCAAGGTGTGCGACATATTGAGAGCGATTGCATGGAGTGCCCTGGAGAAGGTTCCGAGTCCCCTTGGGAAGAATATGTATTCCATCGCTGCTGGCAGGAGCGTCTCCAAGGTCTCACCGGCTTACCGTGTTTCTCAAGTCTTCCGTTTCCTTGCTGGTCTTCTGTCTGGTTCTTCTAGACATATTAGAGTGAAGTATTGAATTCTTCAACTGTTATTGTTCAATTTTCTAATTTGTCAGCTTTTGCTTCATGTATTTGGGAGAGATCTGATGTTAGGTTCAAATATGTGTATCACTGTTGTAGTTTCTTGATGAATGCACTCTTTCATTATTACATAAAGTTATTATTTGTCTCTAGCAATAATTTTGTCTTAAAGTCTATTTCATTTGTTATTAAGTTAGATACTAGGGCTCTTTTGTTGTTGTTTGTACATGGTGTATCTTTTGTCATTCTTGTACTCTCAAGTTATGTGTTTATGAATACACACCTATCCCTTATTTATCAGCTATCCTGCTATTCAAAACTTCACATTTGTGACAATAGTGAAAATCTACTACCCAACCATTTTGCTTGTTTGTTTGGGGTTTTTCTGCTTGTTAATAACACACATCTGGTAGTAATGGGGTGAGAATAACCCTAGCAGTGATGGTAACCATTCTGTGTTAACTTGGCTGGGCCATGAGTCCCAGTGGTTTATCAGTTATGTAATAATATGTCATCCTTCATCTTGTGATCTGATGTGGTCAATGTTTATTTCCACATATTGTCAGAATGACCTGTCTTTGGGACCTAACTGCGTGCATAGTGAGGAGTGGGTGTAAAGGATGTCTCCTATAGACTGCACAAAGTTGGACAATGCTGTTTATTCATCTCTGACTTTTGATTCAAATGTTTATATCATGTGGTGTCATGACTGATTTACATCTGCTCTTTTAATATTTGTTTCCTATGTGTCTTTTTCATTTTTCTGTTCCTCCATTACTGCTTACTTGAATGAATGAACACCAAACCACATGACCGCTTTTAGGGACTCTTAACACTTCTTTGTGAGCTACTTTTTCCATTAAAAAAATTGTTTTCCTTAATTCCATTATACAACAGCGATGATATAAAAGTTAATATACTAACATTTTTTTTCTATCCAAATGTTGCATTTTAATTCTGATTTTAAAAATAAATGAAAACATTTTCATGGGTCACTAGAAGTATCATGGTCCCTAGGCATTGTGTTTCCTTGTCCAATGGAGAAGTCAGCCCTGTATGAATGAATGAATGAATGAATGCTTCCATTTCCTGAGACATTTCCTAAGAGAATCCTCTGGCCTCAGAGAAAATGTACAAGTGGCATTTCCCATCATACCAAACCTGTTGCCTAGTTTTTGTTTTCAAGTGGAAACATTCTACCACTTCTCATTGAAATGAAGGCTGATTTTAACTCCAGGTGCCAGTAACTCATATTGCACTTTTGTGCAAATTAGAAAAAGGCTTCTTATCTGCTGTCATTAGATTGTCAACCCTAAATAGAATGAATGCCCTTGACTGTAACTCTTTCCAGAGTAACCAGCCTCATCTTCTCCTTCAGAACAATGGGTGAGTGTGAATGAAGGGCCCTGCCATCAGCAGATCAACAGCTAACCCACAATGCCTCCAGGGCTCCTGTCTCATCTTGAAGAAGGTGGGGTGGGTGGACTTTTACTATACTGTTGTCGTTGTTATATTTTTGCACTGTTTGAACAAGTGTCATCACCAGACCTCAGAAGTATCCCTCCCAACATCATCGGAGGGTGGATTGTAGACAGCAGCTTGTCACGGCTGTCTCCAGCCTACATGTATCTGAAGTGCGGTTCCATAAGCAAAACGTCATTCAGGGTCTGTAGGGAAGTCTATTCAGGTCTAGGGCAAAACTGCTGGGCCTTTAAATGTGGAAGAAGGTCAAAGTCATGACCTCAGGATACTCCCAGAGCAAGAAGTAGAAGAGGCACAGCCACATCATGTGTGCACCAGTGCGTGTGTGCAGGTGTGGGTTCATGTGAACTGGGACTCGTGTCTTCACAATTGCACACGGCAGCTTTGCCAGGCTCACTGCCTCTCCTGAGCCCTGGAAAGGCCACACACACGTCCTTACGCCTCCCTTCTCTTCTTTCCTCTGCAGGGATGACATGCCAAGCCCGAAGCTCCTACATCACCAGTGAGATCCTGTGGGGTTACCGTTTCACACCTGTCCTGACCCTGGAGGACGGGTTCTACGAAGTTGACTACAACAGCTTCCATGAGACCTACGAGACCAGCACTCCTTCCCTCAGCGCCAAAGAGCTGGCCGAGCTGGCCAGCAGGGCAGAGCTGCCCCTGAGTTGGTCCGTCTCCAGCAAACTCAACCAACATGCGGAACTAGAGACCGAGGACGAAGAGAAGAACCCCGAAGAGCAAACGGAAAGGAATGGTGATGTGGCAAACCTAGAGAGTGAATCCAAAGTTTAGTCCCCTGCCTGGGCAACCCCTTCTCCTCTCCCGACACAACCTTTTTCTCCTCGCTCATGCTCTTTCTTTCTGTCTCTCTCATTTTGTTCTTTCTTCCTTTCTTTCCATTTCATTTTGCCATGACCCGCAAACACATCTTCAAGGTGTAAAATATCTACCTGCCCTCTCTCAGTGATTCAGATGGATAAAGGAGACATGAGTTGGGTTAAGGGGCAAGGTGCCCTCACTGTGGCCCAAGTTGGGTCTCCTCCCAGAATACCCTGCAGCCAACACCTACCCAATGAAGCCAGTCACCTGCAGGTGTTTGACCAGACCAGAGAATTCTGAAGGGTGTGTTACAGAGATTACCTGGTTAAGACAAGAAGAGTCTCGGGTGCCTAATTATTCATGCAGTGAGACATGGAGGATAGCCCTCAAATTCCAAGATTCCAGTGAATGCCATCTAGAAGGTGAGGTGCTTGCCACGTGTGGGCATTGTAGCCACCGTGCCCGGGTGAGCTCAAGACAAAACACTGTACATAGATCTGCCTTATGTAATTATGGTTTTTCTTTTCACAGTTAGTAATAAAACCACGCATGTACAAAAGTACTGTAGAACAGAACTCTTAAATAATGTACATAGATGTATAATTAATGTAGGTTTAGATATATAACTTTAGAAATAAGATGCAAAAAAAATTTGTAAAAAGAAAAAAAGATTCCCAACTGTCCCATAGACATTTCTGTTCCGATGTCTGTGTTCTCCAGATGATTTTTGAACCCCCTTGACCGCTGGCCCCTCAGTGCATGGCCTTTCGTATGTGTCCCAGATTGGCAGCCATTTAAGGTACCTCCTGACTTCCTTGCTGATCCTTTTAGTGAATCTAATAAGCCATAGGTCTGGGGAAGTTGAGAGGTCCAATAGATGGCAAAACCCACCACCAATATGCTGATATACTGTGAAATGTTTACAAAACTATGTCTTTTCTTTTTTAAGATGTAAGGGCCTCACTGACTAGCCTGCGGAATAATAGGAAGAGGGCGTTCTCCCACGCTTCGCCAATGATAGTGTTTAGGCTCTTCACGTCAGCTCTCACCCTTTGGAGGAGAGTAGTTTGGGGAAATTCTGTTCTACAAAACCTTGACTCTCCAGCTGTTCCACTCTGTGGTCATGAGAATCTGCAGACGCCCTGAAGACAGACATGCTACGCTCACAGAAGACGGCTTGGGTCTAGGGCATGCAAATCATGAAGGCCTTACATTGGCAACACATATTCTAATCATTCATTCACATCCTTGGATTCTATCTTGCACTCTGAGGATATTGGTTGGCCTGTCTCTGGGGGCGTGCCCGTGAGCACTTCTGGAAATCTTATGAAGTGACGACAGTTCTACTTTCAAAGGTCAGATCAACGATCTTGGAGAGTGTCTAAGCAATCTCTCCTAGACCCTGTGCCACAGGTTAAACCAAATCCAGTCTCCGGCCCCCAAGAGAGCAAATGAAGAACTGCAGCCTGGATGCCTTTTCCTCTGAATTAGGTAGCGATGGAAGGGAAGAAACGAGAGAAGGAAGGGAAAAAGGAAGGAAGGAAGGAAGGAAGGAAGGAAGGAAGGAAGGAAGGAAGGAAGGAAGGGTGATTTGTACTGAAAAATCTAAGTGTCACGAGAAAAAAGAGAGACTCAGGCAAAATTCAGGGGCAGGTGGAGATTTTGCACTGTGATAGAGCTTTTACTTTCATTTCACATTTATAAACTGTTTGTTCCTTAACGCAGTGGCCCATCATAAATATTCATTATGGATCCAAGTTTATTTTCAGCTCCGACAGCTGGGCTCAGTTTGAGGCTTTGCACCATGTAGGTCAAAGACATCAAACTAGCCGTCCCTCTCCATCCCCCTCACCTCCACTGCCCAGATCGCATGGGCCTTTGATGCGCTTTCAGGACTTGGTCTACGAAAAAGGATGTCCCAGAGACAAGGAAAGTGGCTCCTAAATTTACCGCAGGACAGGGCGGGGGAGGGGTGTCTCTCCCTCCCCCTTCAGAGACCTTGCTTCAGGACAACTGCTTCTTAGCACTGACTCGGTGGGGAAACACACTCTTGGCCAGGCCCTTTCCTGATGGCTGGCATTTCGTCTTTTTTTTTAAATGTGTACTGAGTATCTGTTGAGTCCTTTATTCATCTCACACACTCTGCAGAAAAGGTTGTAGTCCAGGAGGCGGGCACCCAGTACACTTCCTGCAAGGATGTGGGCAGGTACAGTGGCCTTACCTTAGCGGTAGCTCTTCAAGGGCCCTCATAGAAGCACTAACCCCTGCAGCTGCAGCAGCAGCAGCAGCAGCAGGGTTGTATGGCTGGGCATAGGCAGCATGAAGCAACATGGGATAGAACTGTGAAAAGTCTGTTCACTTGGCTCTTGAAGACTCATTGGGCCTTTCCAAATCTCCGACTCGAATTGAAAGGGCAATCCACCTCTGCTGTCTTCTGAAGAGCAGCCTGGCCATCTGCTGCCTGCCCGTTAGCACAACCGAACAGAGAGCCGTGGCAACACAGCGTCACCCGTACGTGTCGGTTCTGTATCTGGAGCAGGGCACCCAGGGGTGTGATGCTTGTCGCCTGTCCTTGCTCTCTTTGCTGTCCAGGTGGGTGGAGACAGAACATGAACCAAATCTCACTTTTGTAACCTGAGCCTCTGACTCTTTAAACGAGGCTCCACAAGAACCTTTTACTAGAATGTCCCGATCAAACAGGTCTATTTTTCTACAACTGTTGATAATACAGTGGAACAGGTATTTTGTGTCAAAACTGTTACAATGCAGAACTGGACGAAGTTCATTAAGACTGACTTTTCTAAGCAGCAAGTACTGAATGCAGTTTTTCATTACGACCATTCATTGAAGAAGGCCTCCGTTTCTCCCCCTTCTACTCCACAACACCCGTCCTCCAGTCTCACGCTGTCACCCTGCGCGCAAATCAAGTTCCATGAAGATAAATAAGCCTATTGTAACGCAATGATAGCCAGAGTCATGAGGGGCACTCTCGGCTTGGCAGGTTAAGCTGTTTGCTTGGTGTGTTTAAGTCATGTTTGCCCATCAAAGCATGTCAGGATTCGTGAGAAATTGAGAAAATTGAACTTAGGGGTTGCAAGCGGCCATGGTCGAGCCTAATCTGACAGAGCAAGGTGGTCCTGGGGAACAGGGCATGTTGAGCTGAACGCATTCCCTCTTCAAGAATCGTGAGCCCCTAAAGTACTTCCCAACTGGAGGAGCACCTATTCATTTATCAGTAAGCTTTACATAGCTCATAAAATCGGTTACGTTTTCTGCCATCCCCTGAGAAAATCGTCCTCATCTGCACTCACACATTACGAATCACTGTTTCTCCCTTCCTGCATGGTTGGCCCAATATACTGCCTCTCTCTGCCTACGAGATGGGCCCCTCTCTTCCCTCACCCCCTTCCTCCAGGCACCCCTCTCGTTTATTCGCGCCCTAATGCTCCAGCTCCAGATCGGTTGGCATCTTCTCCTTATCAGGACTCCAGCTACCATGTCTAAAAAGGTCACCATATTCCTGAAGCACAATTTTCTCTTGCGGTTTAAACAAACCAAGGCTCTAACCTGCCTATTTTTCATTACGTGCTAATTAAAAGTAACTTATGACTTCATTTCAGAGCCTAAAATGTTGTTTCCAAGACAACTTTCTTTTATTTCACCCTCTCCCCACATTCTCTGCATTTCAGGGTTCTGACCTCCCCTCCTGCCTTGCTTTCTAAAATTTAGATTTAAGTCAGCATCTTCATGGTGCTCAGAAACTGTTGGCTAAGGGAAAAGCTGATGGACAGAGACAACATGCATGAGATGCATTCAGATGACTTCCTGAATGCACCAGAAAACTATGAAAATCACTTGATTAGCCGGGTGATTTAAGAGAATACAATTAAAATAAACATAGGAAGCCAGTTTCCAAGGGGTTTGCCAAAAATCTAACCCATTGTCAGTCTTTGTTTCCTGGACTTAAATGATCGAAAAGAGTCAGGAAGGTAGCCAAAAGTGACTGTCCTACACACAAGATGAGCTTTCTCTTCCATCATTATTTCCCTTCAGTGAACGGCTAGAAGGTCAAAACAGGTCCGCAAAATATGAACAGATGATTCATTGATATTACAATATAATAAAATGATCTTAATGTGTATCTAGATTTTATGGCCACCCTGTATTTAAGAAAAGTTCCCTTTGATTTAAAATTAAGTAGAACGCACTCCTTACTAATATTTCTGCCTTTGCTTCTGATTGAGAAGGTCACCTGGCAGTCAAAGCTCCCAGGAGGCTGATAAGAAATATTGGCAAAGCACTGTGTTCAACGATAACAAAATAACAGGATGCCCAGCATCATGTGGTACTGTGGAGCACAGGCAAAATCGAGTGATCTCAGTGAATACTAAATCCCCATGGAAACTTCTTCCATATCATCATTTCCATTTTGTAGATAAGAAAGCAGGGGTTTCAGGAAAATTAAGTAATTCCCCCAGGGTTTGAAGGTCAATAAGTTATAGAACGTCACAATGCTCTAAGCTGGGGGCTCTTTCTACTACGCAAAGGGTCCACAAACCAAATGGGTAGCCAAATCTGGCCCACTGACTATTTTGTACTATTTGTGAGCTCTAGATAATTTTTACATTTTTAAATGGTGGGGGGTGGGGTGGGCAGATTAGAAGAATAATATTTTGCAACATATAAAAAATCTATGAAGTTCAAATTTTAGTGTCTGTAAATAAAGTTTTGTTGGAACACAGCCACACGCATTCATTTCTGTATTGCCGGTGGCTGCTTCTCGCACGATGCTGACCAACCAAACCAACTGCCATCGAGTCAATTCCAATTCCTGGCAACCTGATGTGCTCTATAGGAGACTCAGTGGCCAATTTTCAGAAGTTGAGCATCTGGCCTTTCTTCCAGAAAGCTCCTGGGTGGACTTGAACCTTCAACCATTCAGTTAGTAACTGAGCATGTTAACCATTTGTCCCACCCAGTGGCAGCACAGACAGAACTGAGTCCTTCCAGCAAAGCCTAAATCCTGATCCTTTACAAAAAGTTTGCTGAGGCCTGTGTTACATGACATACCATGAAGAATACAAGGGAAACTTAGATGAATAACATTCTTTTCCAGTATTAATGATTGAAGTCACTCCTAGGTCTACTCAACAGAAAAATGACGTAAGTTTTGGTAATAGATGCAAATGATACATAAGATTTTGGGGGTTCAGGGAAACCATCTTTCCTTTTCAGAGTCATCCCCAAGAGGCTCAATAAGATAAACCACCGCCTCAGAAAAAGGATCAGCTAAAACCACCTGGTCACTACAATAAACACATGGTAGCATCCCGCTCCATCACTGCAGGGTTGCATCCCGGGTCCCCATAGGCATTTGACTATGTAGACAGCAGGACCACTGATCTTTGCCCAGTGAAGTAGAGCTGGACTTGGCAGCAGTTGGCAACACATCAAACCAACTACCCCTTGTCTACGTGACATCTCTTGTATGGGCAGTCTTGGAAAAGATCTTAATGGGCTGCAGGAATGCGTGTGCTATGTTTTCTTGCTAGTTTGCTGTGACCCACCACTGAGGAATGTGATGAAACTGAGCCTTGAGCTACTTCTGCTCATGTTTAATTGTCGTTTGGGCTCTTTCCCGCCATCAGCTGGAATTTGAACGCACACACACAAACATACACACAAGAAGAGGACAAAGTGATTCTCTTGGAAAACCACTAGGTTCTTTGAACAGAGCTCAGGGAGAAACAGAAGGGTCGTTAAACGGGTTGTTGGATGGTTTGCCACTTTCTGAGTCCGAAGCACAAGATAAAGATTGGTCCTCACAGACAAGTTGGATTAACACAATCCAGACAATGAAGCTTTTAGATAAGTCGATATTAAATGGCATTCTGAAGGATCGCTAAGCTGAGCCCACTCATAGTCCCAGGAAGCGTTTCTAATACCAGAGTTAGGTCAGTCAAGGAAGGTTCTTTATCATTCTAGTTCTATGGAAAGATAGAACAAGTTTTCTTATAAATGCTTTCCTGGAAACTAGGTGGGGGAAAAAAGTTTTGTAACAGATCATGGTGATGTTGTCTTGCCAACAGATAAGTGATGGATGTTGCGGTGGATCCAATCCTTGCCTGACACTAAGTATGTAATGGTGTTTTGCAATAGAGACCGTACAAAAGCATGTGACCCTTAAGCTACATGCAACACCATAACAAATAAGTGGGAGAAAAATCTCAAAGTTCAACACCATAAAACTTAAAAATAAATGTAAAAGGAGTCAAACTTCTACTTGGCCTTATTGCCTTGGTAAGAAGAGAGCTTCATGCAGCCACCTAACTCAAATCAGAGAATTCTGGAGAAAGGAAGTCAAACTACTTTAAGACACACAAGAGCAGTTCATGGTGATGGTCAACATGATTAAAGAACAGGGATTTATCGCCTATGGAAATAGTATGTATTAAGTTCTTTTTAGACTACATCCCTGGATGTGCACCCTAAGGTTTTCTGTGATTGGCCAGAGAACTATGACCACATAGTCAACAAATCTTGACTTCAGAAAATGAACTGTTCCTGATGATAAGTAAAATCGGCCATGTCAAGATTAAGGCTCAGAAGCCCATTGTATTAACCTTGATCATAAATACTGTGAAACCAACTTGCCAATCTTCTTCACAATATGAAGGGCTGTTTATCTCAGGCAATGTAAATATCTGCTACCAACAAGAACTCGTGAAATAAATAAAGTAACTTATCACCATGTTAGAGATTCTGATAGGAATCCATCCATCCAAAGGAGAAAGCAATTCCAGGAGCCTAAGATCAGGCTTTGACTAGTTCAGACTGAATATCTTAGGGAAGCTATTGATGTGGCTTTATCCCACTAACTGTGATTAACAGATCTAGATCACCTGGAGCACAAAAGAGCTGGGTTCCTAGCAACCACGCATGATCTGTTTATGATCTGAACAGATTTCCATCTGTTCTCAGCAGGTACCATTCAAGCACTGGGAGTGGGTATGAGCAATACTCCCCCTTGGTTCATCTTTGGACTGTCCAGACACCTTGACCATGCACACCTGCTCTGGCTCTCTGCATGAGATATGGTCCTGCCCTTCTAGACAAGGACCACTGCCCAGAAGTGTCAGCTGGGGACGTGTATGCTTTAAGTCTACCTTAGCCAGCCCCCTTGGCCCGACAGAGCAATCACATGAGTCAAGGATAATAGTTCTCCTTGGAAGGAGACAACTGGAATTAATTAAGACAACTGGAATCTCCTTAACACTGGGTGTCCCTCCTATACATCAGTCAGTAGAAATAAGGCGATAGTAACACATTAGTGGAGGAAGTATGTGGAAGGCCAAAAAGTTCTAATTTCCACATGGTAACTATTTCAGGTATTACCAAAAAACAATGTAATTCATCACCTTTTGTGATGTAGCGATGTCAGGAGCAAACTCAGGTAGCCCACATCCCTCCTTCCATAGCCCGATCCTGTTCTCTCTCTTCAAGTCGTTTGGAATACTTGTCGTTTGGAATACTTGTCGGGTCAAACCTTCCCATGACCAATAAAACATGGTCAAGAAACCCTACAAGCCCTCCTTATCCTGCGACAGGGCTGTCCCAGGAGAACAGCAATGTCAAGAGTCTCACCTCTGTGTGCAAGGCACTCCTGTGGACATCAACATGGAGGGCACAACTCGTCCTGTCCCCAGAGGCAGCAGATTCTCATGCTGCCCATGTGTGCTTCCTGCATTTCCCCTCTCAGCTCACTCCTAAAGGTAGAGTTCCTGATGCCTTCCTCGAAAGGTCATTGCATTCTTGAGTAGTGGTCACAATCTAAAAAAAAAAAAAAAGTTGTCATCTAATTGGCTCTGCCTCCAGGTGAGGCCACGTGTGTCTGGGGAAAGCTGTGTGCCACGTGGTTTTCAGGGACTTGATTTTAGAAGAACATGACCAGCTCTTCCTTCCAATTCACCTTTTGAGTGGAGTTGAATTTCCCATCCTTTGGTCAGTCAGAGTGCTAACTGAACCTCCAACCTTTTGGTTACAGGTCAAGTTCTCAATGTTTTGGGCCACCCAGTCACGGTATATGGATTTTGTTGTGTACTATCAAGTCAGTTCTGATTGAGAGTGACCTTACAGGACAGAGCAGCTACACAGGCTTTCCTAGACTATACATCTGTATAGGCAGAGATGGCTAGGTCTTTTCTCCCAAAGAGCAGCTAGTGGATTTGAACCACTAACCCTTCTGTTAGCAACTGGGTGCCTAACTCTTTTACTCCCAGGGTTCCTTCCTCACAATCTAGAAACCTATTATTGGGGCATTGATCCTACCACTAATTGCACATCACTGATTTTAATAGAAGATGTCATCTGTTCAGAATCTGCAGTGTGAAATCAAAACATCAGAAAATTTTGTTTGTGCCCGTAGGCAGCTTGAGAGGTCACAAGCAACCATTGGGCTTATATAAATCAGTGACTACAAAGAGTAGAGTGTAAGATAAGGTCTAATACCAAAAAAGAGTCAGATGGGGACGCCAGCTTGTCCAGTGAGGTCTTCTGGTCTTTTGTAACCTATGGTTAGGCTGGTCACCTTGCCAAAGAAGGTCCTGGGTATTCTGCCTAATGGTTCCTGGTGTAAAACCTCAAGCCACGCAGGGACAATAGCACACTCTCACACATTCTCAGGAGTCTGAAATGATGACCCAGCAGCAGCCTGTTTTGGCACAGTGGTCCTAACTCCCCCCACTGTCTGCACAGACGGTGCTGTGGGGAAAAAACTGAGCACCCATGTGGTGCCTGGTTCCCCGGCTGCCTCCATGGCAACCTCCAGCCTATCAACGTGGACCGCTTTCCTGCAGACTCCTCAGAAACTTGGTTTGGTAGAGCCACAGGAGCTGGGCTCCTAAAGACTGCTCCACACCTACAGCTTGGAGACAACCAAGGAACTGTAGGGCAGTTCCCAGGCAAACAGGCCCTCAGCCAGCATGCCAGGTGAAGGATATTCCAAATTCTCTTGTTCCTCAAATGGTACACACTTATGTAGCCAATTGTCCCCTGACAAAGCTATTCTTTAAACCACTATCCCTCCCAGCAACCCCTCCACACACACATATCACACATTTGCCTTTTTTTAAAAAGATTCCGAAACTGAATTGACATCATGTGATGGAATAATATCCAAGGAGCTGGCATTTAATTATTTTGTAACTCTTTGTCTTTGAAGTTGCCTTTTTCCATCTGCCTTTGAATGGGAGGACAGTCCCCTTTACTTTGTCAGGAAATGTCAAGTGTCATTCAGAGCTCAAGCCTTCAGCATCCTGGCCCACTGACTAGGCAGGAATTGTTGTGGTTGTTAGATGCCAGTAAGTCAGTTCCGACCCACAGAGACCCATCCTGCGCCATCCTCACAATTATGGTCACGATGAACCAGGAAAGCTCTGCAGCACTTGGCTGGACGCGCATCTCATGGACATTTTGAAGATGCTGGTGGTTCGGGAGGATGCGGAGCACTGTGCCAGAACCAATAGTCAGAGAGAGGAGAGTAGCCTTCAAGCCTCATCTTACATGGGTCCGACCAAGTCAGATCCCATGACTGCAGAGGCTCTGGTTGTCTGACCTGGCCTGTGTGGGGTGTTTTCATGTCAATGAGACCTCACCACAGTCCGAAGAACCATAGTGGATGATTTTACTTCTATATTATTGTCTAATTCCCTACCAACAGGAGGAGCCTGGGGGACAAGCAAGGAGTAGCTAACCTCAATGTCAGCAGTTAACGCCCCAGCCTCACTGCAGGAGAAAGATGAGGCTGTCTACAATGGTAATGATTTACAGTCTCCGAACCCCTACGGAGTAGTCCACACTGTCCGAGAGGATCGCCGTGAGTTGGAATTGCCTGGACACTAGCAGAGCTTGATTCAGTTACAACAGGCAAGAAGAAGTGTGACTTGTTATCATCTGTTTCCCTATTCACATCTTCAAAGAGCTTTTCTTTCTTTTATTCCCTAAAGCATTCTTTCCTCAAAGACATCTGTTGTACACTACATAGGTGCACACTACATGGTGTGCATGTTGCACACTGCAGGGGCAGTGTTCCCAGTCCTCCATTCCAATCCATCACAGTGAACTCTGCCTAACAAACACAACAACATACATATACGCATATATACACCTTGCATGAACATACACACGTGTACACACATACATGCACACACACATTTATCCCTCCCGCCCCCCCCATCACCAAAGCTTTAAGAAGAACATTCCCTCCTCCCTTCCCATTGCTCAGGCATTTGTTCCAACCTGTCCCCTAAGCGTCCCTAAATCCATAGGCTATGGGTCACTGCTATGGGAGCTGCCTTTCAGGCGTTATTTTGAAGACACACCAGACTCAGACTTAGGAGACTAGGATTCTGGTCCTGGTTCTGTCCCCAGATGCGCTGTGTGGTCTGAGAAAAATCATCTAACCACTCTGAACCAATTTGTGTTCACAAGCATTTGAACCACATCTCCCTTGCTTCTTTCAGGCCCCTATCAGTTTCTGTGTGCTGAATGGTTTCGCATTAAATCCTTCTCTTTTTAAAAATTATTTCACTGATTGCTTTGCTGGGAGCCGGGACATGTCACGATTCTCCACAGGCTGGTCTCTAGCACCCTTCACCCACCATAAGTGTCTGCCCCTCTCATCTACCGTCACTAAATGGCTAGCAGACAGGTAGGCAGAGAGTTAAGTAGCTTCAAGAAAACAAAGGCCTTCCCTAATGCACCATGCAGCTTCTATAGTAGAAAAAAAAATCCCAGTTGAAGGTGCACTTCACCAATATCCAACCTGAACTTGGCTGCAGCCAGCCTGAACCTCCAGGCACACCTCAGTCAGCTCCAGCAACTTGCTTTGAGACCAAATCCAGCTCTCCCCTGCTTGAAGAGTGTGCCTGAGGCCAGAGGCAGAAACACTTCAACCCCACACCAAGCAAAATATAATTAAATCAATTGACATCAAGTCAACTCCTACTAGAGGCAACGCCAATTGTATCAGAGTAGAACTGTGCTCCATAAGGTTTTCAATGGCTGATTTTTGGGGAAGTAGACAGCCAGGCCTTTCTTCCAAGGTGCCTTTGGGTTGACTCAAGAATGGCCACTAGTAGTTAGTTGAGTACTGAATGTTTTGCACCACACAGGAAGCCCAGAACATCATTGTTGCCATTACTATGTGCTATCAAGTTGAGGCTGACACATTGCAATCCTGCAGGACAAGGAGAATTGCCCCCATAGCAAGGTTAAAAAAAAAATCAAACCCCAATAACATTCTAATTCAACTACTTTAGTTTAGCTATATTACTCTTTTCTCCTCTAGCACTCTTAATTGAAAGGTACTAAGTTGTATCTGTCTTCTTTGAGATCTGAATTGTTTTTCCCTTGACCCAATCAAGCAAATTGTCGTTCTGTGAACCATTGCCTCAGATGAAAAATTACTCTAGGAAGTTCACTAGTTCTCAAATCCATAACAATGCCAACATTTCAGTCATTTTTTAATCCCAAGTGTAGGTAACAGAGAGTAAGGCTGAACTTGGCTTGGGGATTGCATGTTTGTGGGCTTTTGTGTTTCCGTTGACCTGGAAGTACTCTGTCTGACCACCACCAAAATACGCAAGACTCAGCAGCTCTTAGCACTGGGTCATCAAGTTGGAGGAGTGATTTGAGTGCAGGTCAGCTTCCCAGCTCAAATATCCGTTCCTAGATAATACTCAACTCAAGTTCACTGCCACTGAGTCAGTTCCAACACAGAGTAAGCCTTTAGAAAGTGGCAGGGCACAGACCACTTGATCATCAATTTTGTCTCCAGAAATATTTTTTAAGAGCCCAAGTCATTGGTAAAATGTATATTCTCTAGAGATAAATTTTAAAAAGTTATCTTTTACAAGAGAACCAAGTTCACATCATTCCCAGGCACCAATGCAGTCACCTAACCCTGAACAAGGATAAAACCCCACTCAACAGAGGATGAAAGCTGTCCAATGTCCCCATGTTTTATTGTCCCAAACATGGACTCACTGACACATGGGGCTGCTAGGACTCAAACTTGACTAAGGATACACACTAGCAACAACCCAGTGTCGATCGACGAACACCCCATAGACTCTCAGCAAACAGCAGGCAATGTCCCAGCCAAGGGACTTCGGAGACCCTACAGGCCGTGGCTACCTTCCCCTGTCCTCAGCAGGCCTGCAATCTCATCGCTACCAACTCTTCCTTTGTGACAAGTATTTCCCCAGTGTATCCAACCACACAAACCCCTGCGAGGAAATATCAGTTCCCACTTTACAAATGAAGAAGTCGAGGCATAGCGGAGTTAATTAACTTAATCTAGTTTGGGGAATGAGCTAAGCAAATGCGAAGATGGATAGGTACATTAACTGCTGTGGGATAGAAAGGACACAGATCAGGAATGATGCCATAGTAAGAAGGGAGGGACACATGTCCTGAGCCCTGAAAGACTAGGTGAGTTTGAAAGGTAGGTATCCCGGGGGGTCGGGAGGTGGGGGTATTCCAGTTTGAGGGACCAGCATGGGAAAAGGCCCAAAGATAGACAGATGCCCAATGGTACCTTGGTCAGCCTACATGGGGTCCGCCAGCTTATAGTTGGGTTTTAGGAAATAAACATTTGAGAAAGCCAACTGGTGCTACATTTTAGAAGAGGTTGAATTCTAGACCAAGGAACAGAAACTGAGGAAATAATTGCATGGATACAGTTATTAATTAACCCCTTCAGTGTACTTTTAAGTTGTGCTTGAGAGCCTTAAGTTTTGAGGCTCTTAAGTAGTTAGGATTAGATGAAAAAATAAATTCCACTAGATGAAACCAAACTCTCCTGGCCAAGACTGGAAGCATTTTGACTGATTCCGTGGATTTGTGAAAAGCCGAAGACCACCTTGGCGGAGCTCCCTGCCAACCCTGAGACATCATAAAGCAAGGGTTATCACAGGGCAGGTTTATACGAATACAGTACACAAAATAATCGGAAGTTTTCTGAGCAGAGCCAGAAAACAGGATGCGCAGGAAGAAAATGGGGTACCCCCTCTTTCATATATCCAACTGAGGCTGCTTACTTTTCTTCATGATCAGGCACCTGAAATTTGCTTCTGAAGTCAATATTGCCAGCCTTTCCCCCAAACTTTTAGTGGGGGAAAGGAACATCAGGGAGGGCTAAAGTACTGGTTTGGCTCCTGACCCACACTTGTGGTCATTTTGTAACTCCCTTTACTCGATTCCACGTATGTCTGTGCACGGATAGTGAGACGAAAGCATGCCAACTATGAAAGCACAAAACTATGTATTGAGAAATTCACTACAATGCCAAAATTTTTTAGAATAATACTTAAAAACAGATATATCTTGAAGAACTCGCTGTGTTAGGGAAACTGTTTACATATTAAGGCGTTCCTCTTTTTTTGACTGGAACAATAAAAAAAATTTGATATGGTCTTGATTTCTTATTTTGTGTGTGTATGTCCAAAAGGAGTCTACTTTTCTCTACAGGTGGGAACTTGCATTGTTTTCAAAGCACTACATCTGGCCACTGGGACGCCTGACTGGCCACCCATATGCCAAGAATGCATCTGTTGGACTAGATGGCTGACCTCTCTCTCCCACCTCTCTTGTCTCTCTCCCATCCCCATGTTCTGCCTGTGGTCACATTCCAGCGATGGGTCCACTCAGCTCCTTCACACACCTGTCCTCCAGGTGAGACCCATTTGATGCCTATTTGCATTTTGCAGCTGATGGAATTTAAAAGCATGAAAGCATCTTGGGGACTTGAAGAGTGGTTCATCTGGCCATTTGCCACAACTCTAAAAGTCCAATCAAGGGGATTTCATAATAGTAAGTGACAAAGTTCAATGTTGATGCAAGGAAACATTCCATAAGAGAGTTGTTCATGTTCTTGGTTCCCTGTTGTGCATGAACAGCAGTATCTCCATTCTGACGCTCAGATGAACACACACACACAGGATGGTTTAGTCCATCTAGGAAAGCAGGGAGAATACCTCTGGGTTCAATCAAGTTTCAGTACGTGATATCAACATAGCCGGTGGCTGTGAAGTTATTCCTTACGTGTGACAACCTGTATGGGAGGGTGTAGACTTGTGTGCCTGTGGGGCCTGCATGGCTGTGACCCTTCAGAACCAGATCTCCAGGTCTGTTTTCCAAGGTTCCTCAGTTAGAACCACCAATGTTTGGGGGAGTAGCTAGGCGTTTAACTGTTTGCACACCGAGAGTTCTTCATATACCGAAGATAAATTCTCTAGACATTGGTAAACAAAACCCTCAGGACACCCTGACTATTTCACTCCATGCTTGCTAATGTCACCCACCCACCCCCGCCCCCCCCACCCCCCAGTATCGGGACCATGCCTGATGGACTCATTAACCTGTCCCTTAGCATTTGTCTCATACTTTGAAGGAAATCTCAAACACAGGTTTGAAATATAAACTAGACAATATGGAGTTTCGCTGTTGCAACAGGAGTAGAGGCTCAGAGCCCTGTTCCTCAAATTCAAGAACCAGGATACCGTTGTTGTTAAAGCACAAGTTAGTTACTGCTCCTCACCAAAAGCAAATCCAGTGGCATCGAGTCCGTTCTGACTCACAGCAACACGAGGTAGGGGTTCTGAGACTGCAGAGCTTTATGTGAGCACACAGCCTTATCTTGCTCCCTCAGAGGAGTGGATGGATTAGAACCACTGACTTTGCAGGTAGCAACCCAATGCCTAAGCCACAGTCACCAGGGCTCCTTAGTTACTTCTGCTAGGCAACATAATGTCCAAACTCCTCGGTTATCCTACCAAGAGCTGCATGTTCCTCAACATGCAGAACCCTCTGCAGGCCAATGTTCTTCCCCACCACCCTTCCTTAATGTGTTAGGCAGGACGCTCCAGAGAAACAAAACCAGGACATTTATAGATAGATAGATAGATAGATAGATAGATAGATAGATAGATAGATAGATAGATAGATAGATAGATGGATGATAGATAGAAGATAGAAGATAGATGATAGATGATAGATAGATAGATAGATAGATAGATAGATAGATAGATAGATAGATATAGATGATAGGTAGGTTTATAGAGAGAGAAGGAATATTACAGCTAATTAGTCCACACAGCAGAGCAGAGAGCTCTCAGTTCAACTCAGTTTTGTGGAACAGTTAATATAACGAAGGTCCTTCAACTCACGTGGGTTGCCGGTCCACAGTCAAGGAAGCCGACTCGAAGTCTGCCCTCAGGCAAGACAAGCAGGGTGGGGCAGCAACAGCGGGAAGATGGAGGTGTAGCAGAGGCAAGTGGTGTAGAAGCTTAGGGAAGCTGTTTTAATATACAATTACATTCCAGCCCGGTCCAGATCAAGTCCATAAGTCCAGTAGTAGCCCATATGTCTGATACAAGTCTGTAAATTCCTCTTCAGACTCACACAACACATGCAATGACGCTGGGTGGAAAGCCTGGTGGATCCAATGGTGGTGGAAACATCTCAGTGCTGGCATGGGTCTCCTTGTGGGCCCCCCAGCTTCAAGGCTTTGACTGCCATCAGCATAGCTCGATGTGGCTTGTCAACAGGAACGTCTTGCAGGGAGAGAGCGTATCTGACCTCCAGTGAGCTATTTATCTCAGCATCTCCAAATGAGGTCATCAAGCTGCGGCCTGATTGACAGGCTGAACTCCACCCCTTCACTCTTAAAAGTCTCAAGTTGACACCAGATTATGTAACTACCACAATTGGTAAGCCGATAACAACCATCACAGGCCCTGTGACGACAGTTATTAAACTGAAGTCAGGAAGGGGCAGGCAGCAGAGCATTAGCCTAGCCAAGGGGCCAGGCCAGCCTAAAGCGCAATCCTGGCTATTGGTGATGGAGGCTCTGACTTCCTCAGCAGGGTCACTCTGCTAATGCAAGATCCAGCTAGGTCTTTCTCCAAGCTGCCCATCAAGTAGGGCAGCAAGTAGTCCATCCCAAAGACATGGCAAGTGGAAACGGTATATTTGAAGATTGGAAGGTAAAAGTGAGTTGCATAAGGAGAGGACCCAAACTCCCAGAAGGTTAACTCTTATTCCACTGCTAAACCAGTTACTGCCTAGTGGCTTCTGGCTCCTGCAATCCCACCTGTGTTGGAGAAGAACTGGTCTCCATTAGGGTTTTCAGTGGGTAGTTGTTTGGAAGTAGATTGATCACAGGCCTTTCTCCTGAGGACATAAGCCTACACCCTGTCAGTTAACAGCTGAGTAAATTAACTATCTGCACCATCCACTGCTACCTCCTTCCACTCTTAAAGCAACATGGAAAGGTCTCTATAACTGATTACCCGGGGAGCATAAGAAGAAATGAGGCTGATTTTTGAGGCAGTGTTTCACTAAGCCAGAAATGCTATGCTATTACAGCCAGTGATAAGCTGTAGCTGACTTGAACCACTTCATAAGAGTTGATTGCTAAATGTGCAGGGATTTTGCCAGCTGGCTGTCAGACACAACCATTATTAGAAAGAAAAATGTATAAACTTATAACTAATAAATTAAACACAAGGGTTACATGGTTCAAAATATATCACTTCCTAATCATTTTACTATTATCTGTGTTTCTTGGATTATTTATATCTATCCTACCTATATGGAAAAGAAACAAACAAACATGTAATGAAGTTCCACAGAACATTTCTCCCCAACTTCAGTTAAATTGGTAGCTTGAAATTGGTCATGGTGCAAGTATTTACATCACAGAAAATGGCAAATACTGGAAACCAGAGCTTCCCAGGTCCTCTCTGGAAAACCTACTGCTAAACATTTACCATCAGAAACCACAGTTGGTTCTGGAAGGCAGTGGAAACAGTAAATATTATTAGCAGCCAAAACGTAACTGGTCATATTGCCTGAGGAAGAAATAGCCAAACTAAATCATAAGCAGTGACAGTTGATTGACTGAATTGTTGGGGTCTTGGAGAAAGCACAATTAGATGATTGGTGTCAATCACCCTTCAGAATACATGGTGAGTGTCAGAATATTTATATTATGTTCTATTGTTTAGAAATCATAGATTTGCTAGGGAGTGTTTTGTTCTGTCGGGCATGGGGTTGCTGTGAGTCAGAAACAATTCAACAGCATTAAAAACAACAACCAGAGTAGAGTGGGTCCTAAACCTAATCCCTTTTGAGTGGTGTCTTTTAATTAGTAAAACAGAGAGAAGCACACCAGGGCAAGAGACCAGGTCACAAGGGCAAGAGCCCAGGTAAAGCCAAGAAATGTCAAAAATCGCTTGGGGCTGCAGAGGTTGAGAGAGATAAGACAAGGACTTCCTTTTGACCCAGCACCCTAATTTGACCTTTGAACCAAAGAGCATGGTCATGCAGATGCCCTGGACTTCTAGCCCCCATAATTGTGAGTCAACAAATTTGTGCTCCTCAAAGACATCCTCTTCTGGAGTCCTGTTACAGAAGCCTTAGGAGACGATGAGAGTGCTCACGGAAAGAAAGCTTCCGCCGAGGACGCAGCAATGAATGCATGTAATTTGAATTGTAGCGTTTTCTTCTTACAAGTACTAGAGTTTCTTTATTCATATTTAAAAATCCCTGACTGGTCCATAAATTAGGAGAACCGGTAGATGACTGGAGTGAATTGAGAAGGTGGAACCCAAAGAACTCCAAACTCACAAATGCTCACCACTGCATCAGGAGTACGGCCAGGGGAAAGAAGGAAAACATATGATGGGAAGCTAGAACCTAGCAGAAAGGAGATGTTAAAAAAAGAGTTCTCTGGAGTGAAAAAGAAGCTGGACATGTATTTCAAGGAAAACTATGCTCCGCTCAGAGTCAGGGTTCAACTTATGTGTTCCATGAGTGAATGAATTTTGAAAACTGAGCAGAAGCAAGGAGAAATAAAGAATGTGTAAAAACCACAGAGCATTACATCACATATGTGCTTGTGACTAGACACCCTGCTTGGCTAGGCTACAATGTAGCAGTCAATTTAACATCATGGTCACTGCATAGAAGCCCACAGTTGTCTTTACCTGACTCTCAATCCCTGTGTGTGAGTCTGATCATTAGAGGCAGAGAGTGTGATTGATGGAGGAGAAACCACAATGGTCCTGACGCAGTCTCAGCCAGAGATGTGGGCAGCTCTGAGACTCGAAGTGGTTTGTTCCCTAGTTCGTGCTTCCGAACAGCTTGCTGGGCTGCTGCCATTGGAGAGAGTTGGGATGAACTTCCCGGACATTCTTGAGAGCCACTGCAGGACCCATGAGCTCTAGAGAAACAGCAATTTAGTCCTTTGGCCTCAGCTCTTCCACAGCACCTTCCTGTCCTTCACTTCCCCAGCTCTCCCATCCACTGCATAAGCCCCAAAGCTCTCACTAGGCCCGTCATCCTAGAATCGTGGTTGACATACTAGCCAGCAAGTCTTGGTCTCATGGTGTTTAAATCTATAAAGTAGATTCATAT